ACTCCGAGAGCGCCTTCAGCCTGAGCCAGCCCGAGAGCATGGTAAGCGCCCGCAGGTAGGTGTGCTCCGTGGCGGGGCGCACCCGGCTGGCGGCCAGCCGCGAGAGCCGCGGACGCAGCTGCGCCCGCCGCGCGCCGTGCCAGGCGGGCCCGGCGCTCACAGGCGCCCGGGATGTCCAACCCTGGCGGGGGCCCGAAGGGCCTGGCGGCCAGCGCCCGCCTCCCGATCCTGAGGCGCGCCGGGTGATCCGCTTCGGCTGGGGCTCCACGGCATCGCGGGCGCGCTTGTCGAACGCGGGGTTGATCCAGAAGGCCCGCTGTGGCATTGACGTCGTTGTTCGAGCCGATGTCCACGGAGGGTGTGCATCCTCTGTGGTGGTCGTGCTGTGTGATGATGTCGTGTTGCACCCGATAACCTGGCATGAACCTCCGTGGAGGGGCGCCCCCCGGATTGAGCTCGGAGGGGATCCACCGAAACCTGAACTGGGTTCCCGTCGCAATCGAGAGCGCGCAAACTTCGGGGCAGACCCCGTTGAGAGCAAAGTGAGCGGCCCTTCCTTTGTCACACGCACATGCCACCCCCAGGTTGCCCCGCAGGACGAGGTGCCGAAGTCCATGCAGCTGAGCTTTCCGAACTAGGCGGCGCACGGCCCACCGCGCCCCCTCGGCTTCAAGGACGTGGATGGCTGCGGCGCGGCGCCAGCGCCGCGCAGCTACCGCCGTCCAGGGTTCAGCCAGGGGCCGCCCAGCTGGGACCTCCTCGAAGTGCGCGAGGGCGCCCTCCGCCACCACGTCCGCCGAGGAGGCGCGCAGGAGCTGCTGCTCGCCCGGCGTGTCCCGGGGGGCGTAGTCCGCCGTCAGGACCCCTCGGAAGCGGCTGCGCTCCGAAAGGCTGCCAACTCGTCGCGCGACCCCGACGGGCCACGATTGCTCGACGACGCCGAACCCCCGCGGCGAGGCGTCGGTAGCCGTGACTCGGTCGCACCAGGTGCGACTCAACAGGGCGGTCACGCATGGAAGGAGAGCCCTGAACCACGCGAGCTCCCGCTTCACTGAGGCCCAGAGGGGCTGCCGCCTGTCACGCGAGCGCCGGCAGAATTCGTAGATGGCGTGGAACAAGGAGAGCATTGGCCGCTGCAGCATCACGGCGGAGGTGATGTGGCCCATGAGCCTCTCAAGCTCGCGCCCCGTGACTAGGCGTCCGGGCGCGAGCACAAAATCGAGGCTAAATTTCAGTCGCCAGTACTTGCTCCGCGACAGCCGCCAGGTGGCGGAGGGCTTGTGCAGCACATAGCCGAGCAGGGTGTGGAGGTCGCCGTCGTCGCTGTCGAAGGCGGCCAGGATCCCCCGCTCGCCCAAGGCCCCACCTCCAGCACCGGGTCGCCACTGCCCGATGTAAAAACGGCAACATTGTCGATGTGCAGCATCTTGGAGGCGGAGCACTGCGTGCCGAGTGCCAAGGTGGGCACCTTGTCGGCAATCCACGGCGACTCCAGGCTGACACCACCCAGGATGTGGGCGTGTCCTGGATGAGGTGCACAGCCCACGACGAGCCCATCGGGACCATCCTGGCAAAGAAGTGGACCATCTCGGACAGGTCCGTGATGCCCAGAAGCTGGCGAGCCTCCGGCTGGAGAAAGCGCGCCTGCACGGCAGGGAGCCCGAAAAAGTGACGAGCCCAAGGTGGCAGCTCGTACTGGTAGAGACAGCAGTCAACGTCCGCGGAGGCCACCTCGACTCCCTTGGAAGCGTCCACCTCCGGGTTCGCCAACGCCTCCCCGCTCGCGAGAAGCGTGTAGGGCGGCTCCTGGAAGTGCGCGTTCGACCTCCTGGTGTCAAAAATCAACCGCATGGATGAGTCCTTCTTCGGAACGAAGAAAATGCCAGCGCGCTCGATGATGCTGCCCTTGTCCACGCGCTCGATGATGCCCGCGGAGAGCAGCTCGGAAAGGCGCTCGCCGTAGTGGTCGCCGTGCCTCTGCAGTACAGGTTCCATAGCACAGACCCGAGGGTCCGTGCCCAAAGCAAAATTGCGAGCCACAGGCTTTCGTAACATCTGCGAAGAATCTGACAGGATAGTCTGCAGGTGCGGGGGCAGCACGTCACTGAGCCGTGCTCGTCTGGCCGCAGCCCGTGGGGGCGCCATGGCCCCCTTCCTGTAGGTCGTCGTAGCGCCGTCGGCCATGACATCTGCATAGCCGTTCCGCGAAGCCTGGAGCGTCTGCCACGCCCCCAGGGGGGTCATGTCGGATGGCGGCTGCTCCACTCTGCCATGCAGCCGTGCGAGGTGCCGCACCGCCGCGGCCTGACAGGCGGCCGGAGGTCCAGCCGGAACGTCAGCGCCGCGACCGCCCAGGTCGTTGAGGGCGGCAATGCCCTCGCGCAGCCAAGCCTCCTGCTGTCGCCGTAGTCGCCCACGCCGTCCGCCGCCGCGTGGCAGCAGGCGGGCTGCCGCGCCGTGCAGCAGCTCGTCGAGCGACTCGCCTGACGGGAGGGGCAGGACGTCGCGCGCCAGGGCCGAGCCCATGATCCCATGCGCCGAGGCCGCCATCACCACCGCAGTGGCGGCCCTCCACTGAAGTAGCGCCCGCTGCCCGGGGGGCTGCAGCGGCCGCGCGCAAGCCGCAAGCCGAAAGAGGGTGGCGGGCTAGCCCCGCCCACGGCCGCGGGCGCCACGCTCGCGCATTCGGCCTGTGGGGCCCGCGCCGCCGCCCGTGCCGCCGCCGCCTCCGCCTGGGTCGCCGAGGCCGGCGTCGGCCGCGCCGCTGCTCTCGCCGCGCGCCGTGCGGCGCTCCTCCCTCCCTTTGCGCCTCTCCTTGAGGATGGCGCTCTCCTCCTGCGTCTTCGCCGCCACGTGTCTCTCCAAGGTCGGCGCCGCCAGGGCGTGTCCCTTCGTGCGCGTGCTTCCTAAAAAGATGCGGCGCTCGTCCAACCAGCCGTCGGCGTCAGCTGCAGCTCCGGCGGTGCCCGCGACCTCTGCCTGTCGCAGCGCCTCAGAGTACACCTCCTCCCAGAGCTGGAAGCGACGGGCCGCCAGCTCAAACGTCTCGCACCCCGGCAGGTTGAGCTGGTCGGCCGTGGCAGCGGTCTCCAGGAGCTGGCGCAAGAACAAGTGTTCGTCCACTCCAGGGTCACTTGCTGCCAACCCCAAGATCTGTGTCCACCAGTAGTGGGCCCGCCACCCTGTTCCAGGTGAGCCTGAAGCAGCCAGCCAACGGTGGCGGGCCCCTCGATGCGCCACTCCTTGGTGTCCAGCGCCTCCTGCTGCTCAGCAACCATCTCGGCGAAGGCCCTGCGCCGCTGTCCCGTGCTGCTCCGTCGGTGCTGCAAGATGCGCTCGTCCAGCACTGCGTAAGGCTCCGCCCGAAGTGGGTCCAGCGCATCCTCGAGTGTGCCCGCGCGCGCGAGCGCGATGACCCCGTCGGGGAAGGATGCCAGGGCGCGGTCGCCGTTGGCATGGACGGTGGCGAGGGCCACGTCCACGGGGGCGCCCCGCTTGAAGCCCAGCCGCGTCTCCAGCGCCACCTGGCCGTCGTCGAGCCGCACTGGCGGGAGGGGCGCCCCGCCTGGGCCCGCGCGCGGCGGGGGCGCACGCGCCGGCGGCGGGAGCGGCAGGTCCCCGGGGCGGTCGTCCCGACCGGCGTCGGCGTGCTTCCGTCGAGGACGATCTGCGTCTCGGGCGACAGGGCTGGGGCGGCCTGCTTGCCTCGGAGGCGGCGGCCTGGGGGAAGGGCGGCGCGCCCCCGTTCGGCCGGCTGTGCGCCCTCCGACATCAGGGCGGCCAGCGCGTCCTTGCCCAGGTCGAACCTGGAGAGGAGCTTCTTGCGCAGCTGTGGCGGCGGGCCGCCGCGCGGCCCACCGAGGTGCACCTCCGCATGGTCCGCGTCGGAGAAGTCCTCGACGAAGACGTCTCTGTCAGGCGTCGCACCGCCCAGAGTGAGCCTGCCGCGCGCCCGCAGAGCAGGCGCTCGTGATGCAGCCCGGTCCCCCGGCCGCGCTGCCTCCATCATGTCCGTCAGGCTGTGCGGGGCCACGGTTATGGAGCCGACCCACCAGGTGCCCGCAGGCAAAGGCGGCGAGCGACGCCAGGCAGACGATCACGGTCACCTCCCAGAAGAAGGAGGGGCAGCGAGGCGGCGAGGCGTGCCGTAGTTGTTCAGGCCCGCACCTGTCTAATTGCCGTTGCAGGAGCTGGACCAGATCTTTGTCGTGCCCCCCGCTGAAGGTGCACGTGCAGTGGCACTCACGCTGCCAGCTGCTCCAGAGATTGGCGGCGTACAACCCTGTGGCAGCCCAGTCCCGTACTTGGTGGGGACCAGGGGCGAAGAGGGCCATAACGCAGCGCAGCTCGAACAGAAGCGATGGCTACCGAGCGAACTCAAGTGGACGTGTGATATGAACAATACCGTGAACAACTATGAATTTGGCCCTGTCGGGCCTTCCTGGAGGACGTCTTGGAGGGCCCTTCGGCCGTCTTGGAGGCCTTTTGCGGGCCTTTTGGGCAGCCTTAGGCCATCTTGAGGCCATGTTGGGCCGTCTTGGGTGCATCTTGGGGCCACCTTGGAGGCCATCTTGGCCGTCTTGGAGGCAATTTGGAGACCATCTTGGCAGTCTTGGAGGCTATCTGGGGATTCTTGGGAGCCTCTTGGGCCGTCTTGTGGCCTTCTTGAGGCCGTCTTGGGGGCCTCTTGGGCCGTCTTGGGGCCGTCTTGGAGGCTTCTTGTGCAGTCTTGGGAGCGATCTTGATGGCCTCTTGGGCAGTCTTGTGCCGTTGGAATCCGAAAAGGAACAGATGCCAAACTCCTTTTGGAAAATCAATGATTTGACCTCTTCGGGCCGTCCTTGAGGACCCTGGAGGACCTCTTCGAGGCCTCTTGGGCCGTCTTGGAGGCGTGTTGGAGGCCTCTTGGAGGCCTGGGAGATAGTTTATCGTGTTGGCCTGGCAATCTGTGGATCCGCAACCGTTGGATCAATCCAGCCGCGCGAGCCGGGGGTTCGCCCATGGAGTGGGCGAGGGCCGCCGCGGCGGGCGCGGGCGGCCTGGCACAACTGGGTAGCCTCTGGCACGGCCAGAGGTGCACCTGCCAAGTGGACCTCGGCGAGGGGTTCTCGGTTGACCGCGAGCTGCTGCGCCTGCTGGAGGGCCAGCTGCAGCGTTTCGGGCCGGCCAACCTCACTCTGCCAGAAATCCCCGATGTCCGCTCGCCTCGTCAGGGCCAGCGGGTGCTCGTCTCCTACGACGTGGCCCCGCGTGAGCTGCTCGGGCATGAGCGGCTCTCGCGCGCTCGCGCGCACGAGGGCTCGTGGGTGGTCGCCACTCCCGAGCGCGAGATCTACCTGGAGGACCTTCAAGACGGGATCGAGAGCCTGGTGCCGCTCGGGCCGATGGGTGGGCTGCCGTCTGGCTGGGGCCGCAGGCCGACGCACATGTTCCGGGGCTCGTCCCAGGGCCCGCTGCATCAGGCCGAGAGCTTGCGCCCGCAGGCGGAAGGTGCGGTGCTGGCGGAGCAGGGGCGGCGGGACCTCGGCCTAGGCGCTGCTCGGCCTGTGCACCTCCCCGCCAGTGCGCCGCCGCCGCTGGCGCTGGAGGGCGACCCCGCGACTGACGAGGGCGAGTGGCGCTTGAGTCGGGGAGAGGCGCGCTTGGGCGAGCGCATGGGTGCCGCGGAGCTGGGCGCTGGCTGCCGCCGCGGCGATCGAGGGGTAGCCCAGGTGGGTGGCCTTTTCGTCGCGTGCTCCTTCTTCAGGCCAGGCGAGGAGGCGCCGACGCCCAGGGGGGGGGCCGCACAGGGGGGGCCGACCAGCGAGCTGCGGACGCTCCCCGTGAGGTGCGAGTAGGCGAGTCAGCGCTACCGCTCCTACAAGGAGGCCGCGTCGCTCACCACGACCACGGCCTTCGACGACTGGCCCATCAGCGGGCCTCGGACGGCGGAGTGGCTCGCGCGCGAGATCGCTCGACAGGAGCTGACGCCAGTGCGGAGGCACTTCTGGTGGCGCCAGCTGTTGGGCCTGGGTCCCAGCGACTGGGATGTGGGGGAGCACGAGTCCCTCAGCTGGCTCTTCGAGTGTGCCCTGACTTACGACCAGCTCAATTTCGGTTAGTTGGCCTCGCTGGACCTCGCGGGCCGGCGTTGCCAGTTGCTGGAGGAGATGTGCGCCTGATGCTGATCTCGGCGACGGCAGGCAGTGACAGCGGCCACCTCGACAACGACGGGCTCTTCATGGGCGAGGAGGGCCGGCACGGGCGCGCGCTTGTTGCGCTGGCGCTGGAGACTTGGATCTCGCAGAAGTTGTCGGAGGAGAGCGCCGTGCTCAAGGAGCGCCGCAGGGCCATGGAGGGGCGTCAACTGACTCGCTCGAGGGACGTGACCCCCGGTGCCTCAAGCAAGATGAACGACGACAAGCCCCCAAGAACCCGCGCAAGAAAGGCGTCGGGCAGGGGGGTGGGGCTGCTTGAGCCACTTCGGACGGCGGAGGCCCCCGGCCGTCGTCCCAGCTGCCTTGGTGTTGCAGGTGAGGGACTTGACAGGGCTCGCGATCTGCTGCCTCTGCAGTCTAGTCGCTGCCTGGCTGATCTTCTGGAGGTGTTGTCGCCGGCGGGGCCAGGCGTTTCGCGCAGCGCGGATCGGCGGCGCTCACGCCGTCGGGCTGCGGAGGCGTGGCTGCAGGACGGCATCGCGACGCTCGACGCTCTGGGCGGGCGCGGTGAGGTGTGGGGCCCCAAAGTGTTGCCTGGTGCCATTCAGCGCCAGGCTGTGGCCAGCTTGGCCAGGGCCCAGGGCCTACTACTCTGTGCCGCCACCGCCCGGGAGCGTGGTCTGCGCTTCGGGGCTGCGGATCCGGCTACGCCTGTGATGGCGTCGTCGCCGGAGAGTTCGCTACCTACCAGCGTGGCAGGCTTGCCCTGCCGGCGGTCGGCAACCAGGCGATCGACCTCGTCAGCTGCCTGCCCGACCACTACCAGAAGTTGCTGGAGGAGAGTGGCCGCGTTATTCGGCTACCAGCAGCGTGTACACAGGACGTCGCGGCGAAGGCGAACGAGTTGGACATCGCGATGGATCCCATCTTGTCGAGGTCTCCGAGCAAGTTCGCATAATTTTTGAACAGTGCTTCTGAATCTGGAGTCGTCGAGCCGGCGGCCGAGGTTCGCAACTTTGTGGGAGTTTTTTTTGTTCGTAAGAAGGACGGCTCGCTGCGGATCATCTTCGATCCTCGGAAGACCAACGCGCAGTTCGTGCCGCCCGACGGTGTCGCCCTGGCCTCGCCCGAGGCCCTCGCCGACCTGGAGTTGCCAGCTTGTCAAAAGTTGTGGGTCAGCGAGGGGGACGTCGAACTGCTACTACCAGTTCCTGCTGCCAGTCGACCTGCGTGCCGACTTCGTGCTGCCGGCGATGCCGCGTCGGGCGCGGCCGCGACGCTTGCGCGACCTGTTCCCTGCAGGCGCCGAGCTGGTGCACATCCAGGTTCGCGTGGCGCCGATGGGCTGGAGCTGGGCCGTGGCGCTCGTGCAGGCTGCAAATGTGGAGCTGCTGCGGTCAGGGCCGTTGGGCTCTCGGCGCTGGCTCTGCAATCGCCGCTGTGCGCCCGCCGTCGCCGGGCGCGAGCCCGCTGCTCTCCTGTGCATCGACAACTTCGCCTCTTTGAGGGCCGTGAAGGAGGCAGTCCAGGTCGATGGCGACTCGATGGAAAGGCAGCTGAGGGGTCGTGGTCTGGCTACTCATGACGTCTCCGGGCCGCAGGTCGACGTGGACCTCCTGGGCTTCCACTTCGACGGGGGGAAGGGCGCGATCCACATCGCGCCCAAGCGGTTCTGGCGGCTGGTCCTGAGTCTGGACTACATCCTGACGCATCCACTCCTGACGGGGGCCGAGCTGGAGAGGCTGATCGGGCACCTGACGTACGTCCTCTTGCTGCGGCGCGAGATGCTCAGCCTGCTCAGCGCCTCTTACATCTTCATCAGCAAGTGCTACGCTCGCCGAGTGCGGCTCTGGCCTTCAGTGCGGCGGGAGCTGTCCTAGATGCGGGCGCTGCTGCCGCTGGTGTGGGCCGATCTGCGAGGCACCTGGGCGCCTGGCGTCATGGCCGTGGACGCGTCCCTGACGGGCCTGGGCGCTGTGGAGTGCGCGGCCGCCCCAGCCGAGGTGGGCCGCGTCGGGCGTGTGCGAGAGCGCTGGCGGTTCAAGGGGCGCGAGCTGTTGGCCGAGAGCTCGAGGGCGCGATCCATGCGAGAGGGCGCCGTGGGCGACTCCGCCTTTCCCGACGTGCCCGCCGATTTATGCAAGTCATCTCTGTGGAAGACTGTGGCTTCGAGGCGCTGGCGGCACAAGGCTCCGATCCAACTCCTGGAGGGCGAGGCGCTTCTCTGGGCGATGTGGAGGCAGGTGCGCCGTGTGGCGCATCGCGGCTGCCGGCTGCTCTTCCTGTCCGATAGCATGTGTATCTGTTGTGCGGTCGCAAAAGGTCGAGCCTCGGACTTTCCCATCCTTGCACAGTTACGGCATCTCACCGCACTTCAGCTCGCTTCTTCGTGTCGAGTTTCAGTTCGTTGGATTCCCTCCGAGTGGAATCCCGCCGACGGCCCTTCCAGGCGGTTCGAGCCTCGCCGTTTGCGGTGCGATGGGGCGCCGAACGCTCCTGGCGGCCGCACCGAGGGAGCCGCCGCCGCTGACCTCGAGCGTGCTTGCGGGCCGCCGCCGAGCTGCGACCGCGCCTCTGGGTGCCTCGCCGGCGAGGGCCCGCGCCAGACGCCGAGGCACCGCGGCCGAGCCGCCGGCCGCGACGGCCTTGCCGTGGCACCGCCTCCTGGGCTCGAGCGTCTCGGGCCCGGAGCTGGAGACAGTGGGGCCACCGACGCAGCCGAACTACCTGCGCTGCCCCCGTGGCCTGTGCCGCTGGCTGGGTCTGGTGACGCTGCCCGACTGGAGCGCGCCGGAGTGAAACGACGCGCTGCCGCAGTACCTGAACGACGAGTTCTCGGGAGGTGCGCGGCCCAACAGGGCGGCGAAGCCGCTGTCGGCGATGCTGTGGGCGAGGCTGGCGCTGGGGCGACACCTGCGGGTGGTGCTGCCGCGGAGCAGCCGAGCGCTGCTCGGCAGGGGGCGCAAGCGACCAGGCCCCTCGCGCCCGTCGCCTCCCTGGCTCGTCCTGTGCGGAGTCCTGGACATCCTGCTGCTGAAGGGCCAGGGGGCGCTGGCGTGCGCCCTCAGCCACATGTCCCACTGCTGGCCGCGAAGGCGTTTCAGCTGGTGGCACCGGCTCAGGGCCGACAAGGCGGGTTCCGCTGGGGGGCGCTGCTGCTGCATCCAGAGGAGTTGCTGGTGCCCATCAAGTCAGGCAAGCAGGGCGACTCGCGGCTGCTGGGCGCCCCCGAGCTCCTCTGGCGCACGCCAGCGCTGAGCGAGCGCATGGCGCAGCTGGGGCCCCGCGCGCCGCTGTGGAGTTTCGGCTACGCGCAGCTGCGCGCGGAGTTCGAGGAGTCGCTGGCGGCGCTGGGCCTGCGAGGCCTCGGCGCCACGCTGCCCGGCTTGAGGCGTGGCGGGGTCAGTCCCGACAGGATCGCGGGTCGCAGGTCGCAGGGGGAAGTGGCCAGGCGCGGCCGCGGGCAGGCCGGGCTCTGGGTTATAAGATGCGAGAGGCACGGGCGCTTGGCGCTGCCGGTGGAGAAGGTGCCGCCCGTGGCGCAGCAGCAGCTGCGCCTGAGCATGCAGCGACTGCCCGGCCTGTCCGGGCTCAGCTCCACGCGACGCTCAACCGAGTTCGCCTGGGCAGAGAACGAATCGCCGTCGAGGTCATCTCGGGCTCGGGTAGGCTGGCCGCCGCACTGCGTGCCCGAGGCGTCTCCACACTGGAGTGGGACATCATTCGAGGAGCGAAGTTCGATCTCACCAAGGCAGCCAGCCTAGAGATCTTGAAAGGCTGGATTCTCACTGGAGAAGTGAGCATCCTTTGGCTAGGCATACCCTGCACGTCGTTCTCGATGGCTCGTAGGTTTACGAAGTCGG